ATTTTCCTTGCTCTCGGGCATAACGTACAAAGTTTAGATGTGAGGCATTTAGTTTCAACCAAAGGATGGTGAGATCTGGATCATTGTCAATGTGGTAAAGGCAGACACCATCATGAAAATACTTGGATATGCAATTGAACTGGGGTCAAAAATATGACCAAGAGCTGGATTGTGAAATTAGGTTGGATGGCTATTTGCCAGCTTAATTAGACAGGTTTGGCTAATTGACCACCTTTCATGCTGTAAGTGTCAATGATTCTGTGAGCAGAGATTCTCATCTACAGTCAAGAATTTCAGACTAAGGTTGTGAGGAGATCCCAGATGGACCATAGGATCATACAACAACTTTCTGTCTAGAACCAGGAATACTGCTGCAATATGTGCAGTCTTTAGAAATTTTTATGCCACGTTTTTCTGTATGTTAACTTGGTAGCTTACAATTCATGTTCCGCTCTGTGTATTTTGGGATACGTACTGATAGTTTGGAAATCAGGACAAACAGTACTTGGTAGCGTGCTGGTACTTGTAAAGTTCCCTTGACATCAAAACATTTCAAAACCCCTGGCATTGTGAGTAACTATCAGGAGGCTATTTCATTGTGAATAGCATCAAAATTTAGCATAATATTGGTGTATCACCATATGTACTTTAGGGTTGGCCATCGGAAAGGGAAAAGGTACCCTACGTTGGGGTGCCAACTGCAGCCAATTGTGAATACTTTTACTCAACCTGTTCAGAGATGTTCTTATGTACCTCTGTAGCAAGTGGGCACTTGAACCAAAGCCTCTTGGTTCAGGGGCAGGGATACTACCACTGCACCACAACAGCCCCTGCTGTCAAAGTGTGTAAAGCCCTCTATCATTGTCACCAGTTGAAATGATATAATTCAGCAGAGAGTGGCCATTGCATTTTAGACCTTCTTTTTCTGTAAGTTTGAGATACTTGTTGATTATATTTGCTTAGTTTCTGAGAATTCTGAACATGTTGGAAGAGGAATATTGAAAAATGCTTGCTTATAGAAATATCAATCAAAATAAACCTCTTTTTCCCTCTGTCACCATATTACAGTAGCAAAGTAAAAGATTGAATTGTTTTGTGTTAAAAATGCATTTTACACAGTTATTACAATTTTAAGTTATTAAAATTATTTCAGTGGAAGCATACCCAAAACATCAAAACTAAAATGTGCCATGGCTGGCTTTTTTAATGACAATTTGTCTGCATAATTATGAAATAGATCTTAACCCACTTTTGACTGTGAACCAAAAACAACAAAATCAATTTGGGCTGAGGAGTAGCAAATTGTGCTTAATTTGGAAAAATGTGAGGTATTGCACTTTGGCAAAACAAACAAGGGCAGGACTTATACACTTAAAAGTAGGGCCTTGGGTTGTGTTGTAGAACAATGAGACCCAGGGGTTCAGGTACATAGTTCTCTGAAGTTTGCGTCACATGTAGACAGGCTGGTTAAGAAGGTGTTCAGCATGCTTGCCTTCATTACTCAGACCTTTGAGTATAGGGTTTGGAATGTCACATTGAGGTTGGAACAGAACATTGGTGAAGCCTCTTTTGGAGTACTGTGTCCAGTTACTGTTGCCCTGTTATAGGAAGGATATTATTAAGCTGGAGATGGTTCAGAAAATATCTACCAGGATGTTACTGAGAACGGAGGGTAAGAGTTATGAGGAGAGGCTGGGACTTTTTTCACTGGAGTGTAGGAAGTGAGGTGTGCTGAGTCTGGCACGGGGACGGTGAGTCCCAGAGTGGAGGTGAGGGCTTTGGGGACTGGAAGCGAGATCTCGAGGTTTGAAGCTCAGCGTGATCTAGAGACTTCGCCTGGGCAGGCTGAAGGCTTGGTGCTTGGTGGAAAGACTACAATTTGAGTACTTTATAAAAGAAAACATTTTTATTCTTGTGCTGAACTTTTATATATGATTCTTTCATGTCTTTAACATGTACTTAAGAATTCTGTACCTAGGTACTCTGTACCTAAAATGGCGCCAAAAGAGTTGACATTACAAAATTTTCACTTCATTCATCTGAGTGCACATGACAATAAAGGCTGACTCAATTCAATTCACCTTACAGAGGTTTATAAAATCATGAAGGGTATATAGATAGGGTGAAGGCAAGTGTCTTTTCCCAAGGGTTGTGTATTTCAAAACTGGGGAACATATTTTTAAGGTGAGAGGAGAACAATTTAAAAAAAGACATGAGGGGCAACTTTTTTACACAGAGAGTGGTTCATGTGTGGAATGAACTTCCACAGGAACTAATGAATGCGGGTACAGTTACAATGTTTAAAAGACAATTGGATAAGTAAGTGAACAACAAAATGTTTGGAAGGATATGGGCCAAGCGCAGGCAGGTAGGAATAGTTTATTTGGGATTATGGTTGGCAAAGAATGGTTGGACTGAAGAGTCTCTTTCCATGGTGTATGACTGTATGACTTTATGGCCTTTTAAGTCCTAAATGTCCCAAGCATTTCACATGAGCATCATACCACTTGGCAAATCAGTCCTCTGTGGAGGTACTTATTTCATTTCATGACCTGCTGATATAGCTTCTACTTAAGAGAGACCCACACCTTGTATGAAATCTCAAAGTGTTTCATAGCCACTGAAGTTTTAAGTGTCATCAATGTTGTAATGTAGCAAATGCTGCAGTTAAGAAATAACAAGATTCATAAATATCAAAATTATAATGATCAGTTAAACTGCTTTTAGAAATGATGTTAGAATGAGGGAAGAATATTGGCTGAGAATGGGGAAATTCCCATGATCTTTCTTCAAATAATAGCACGGAATCTTTACCATCCACCAGAGAGTTGAGATGAGGCTTAAGTTTAACATCTCAACTGGAAGGTGGCACCTCCAACAATTAATAATGCCTCACTGCTGCACTGGAGAACAGATTTAAGTTTTGCGCTGTAGGTTTTGGAGTGAGACCTGAATTCAGAGCCTTCTAATCACGTGGAAGTACCACCAACTGAGACTCAATTGACATTTAAGTGAATCTTATTTTATTGTAATGACATCAGAATGACAAGTTACATCACAAAGCTGCCGGAATTGCTTTTTCTGTGCTACAATATTGTCAAAATTCATCTTTTTAGTTGGAAAAGTCTTGCAATTTTATAAAGTAGAACATACCCTAGGGGCTGCAGTATGGTATGATAAGTACACTTGTTAACAAGTCTGATCACAACCCACTCATAACTATTATTCCATATACCTCACTCGTGAAGATATTCATCGTGACACAGATGGATGTATCATATGATCCTTTTATATTTCTTTGCAGAAAATTACAGTACTCAGAATGTAGGAATTGGGATGTGTTGATCCAGGCTGCACCAAAATGTATTTAATAATCTTCATTCCTTCTTATTTAAAACATATCTGTGCATATTACATAAATAACAATTGTTTATAAGTATTAACTTTTTAAAATTTAAACTATGAAGGCAGTTGAGTGGCTTTATGATGTCATGAGAAAGCTGCTGACATCAGATTGGTACATTGTGACATAATTAAAAATATTTTCACTTTGGATAAGGAAACTTGTAAATAATGTAAATATGTAAATACTCCCCATTTGTTTAATGAGACTAAATTCTTGTTAAGAACAAGCAATTCCTCTTATCAGAAAGACCTTTTCAGTTCCAATGTACAGACTGTGATGGAAAAGAGTGAGATACCTAGTTACTAACTAATCTGTATACGTGTTGTAGCTTTTAAAACATTATTCTGATGTACTCTGAAGATTTCTCCAGTGTCATTTAGAAGCAGTACAACCTGATATATCAGTTTTGGGTTTAATCAATTACAGTGCAAGGGTGAATTCTGCGAACAATTCCTGATACAAATAAGTCTTTCTTGCCATGCTGAACTTGCTCTATGCAGAAATTGACTTCTGCACACTGTGAATAAAGGCAGTAGCTACACAATATAATGCCCTGATATAATACATTGACTATGATCCCTTCACTAAGAGACTGAATATAACCATGTTATGATGTTTTTATAACTTGCTCTTTGCTTGTATGATACCATTGAATGGCTCATAGTGGCTATATTGTATCATGCATGCTTTGCTACAAAGGTTGCTGAGTTGCATATGGAACAGTGTTGGAAAATATTATTGATGCATTTTGAAAGGTAATTGTAAGGCACTCAGTGTGGGGTGGGGCCTGTCATGCACCCTTACTTTCATGTACTGTTTTACACAAGTGTATGTGAACTTGGAAATTCTCATAACATGTTCTCAACTTAGTCTTTCATTTGGATCAGGGCAGGTTGGGACTATTTCCTACCCATGGAGAAAGAGGGAAACAAATTGTGTAAGATATCTCCTCTGACTCAGTAATAATTTGACTTCCCACTCTCACAGTCCACAAGCTACAGAGATTGTTTAAATTATGTTTTTTTTAAACAGAATTTGTATTAGCTCTGGTGAATTGTTATCTAGATCGAAAAATGCTGTCTGACCCGCTGTGATCTCCAGCATTTTTTTTGAATTAGCAGTTATATTTTCATGTCATGCCTTTTAGATGTTTCTGAAATTTATGTTAATACTTGTCAATATCAGATTATTTGATATCACCTTGTCCGAGTCTGTGGGCTCAGAGATTCTACTACGAGCAGATTTCTAGATGGCATTGGGGTGCTCAACTGAGTTTCCCTGCTCTGTCTACTGGAATATTTGCGAGTTGGCTCTTCATGTTGCTTTACATAAATGTAAGAAGCAGACGAATTTTACATAACGCAACTACTGTTTGTTTTTTTACTTGTGGGGAGTGGTGGGCCGTCAGTGTCTACACCTCCAAGTAATTCATTGGGCATGAAGTATAGTTCAGGATATTTCTCGAAGAAACAGGATAATTTGCTCGACACAAAATTGTGTTAAATTTCGGGGAGGGGCGGGGTTTGGGGGCAGGCAAGGAAACCCCAGCCGGGTCGTGCGTGTATGCTTTGGAGCTGTGGAAGAGGATGTGTTATTGCAACAATATTAAACCTAAGTGCTTGTGATTTAGGAGTGAAGCGCTGCTGCCCTCTCCCTGGCGGTGTCACGTGTCCTTTCCGGAACCCTAGAGGCGGAAATCTCCGAAAGTAGCCGATCGTCCGGCTGTGCGGACTGAGGACGAAGGTACGCCATTACTGGGCCGCTTTTTATTATCCGTCTCCATCCTCGGCATGGAGACTGCAAGCACTCGCTGCTGACTGGCCCGGTGGCTGTCCTGCCCTCTGTGCTTCGGCCTGATTGTTTTATTTTTCTGATTCACAGGACAGAAGAAGGGAGGAAAGAAAAAAAACATTTACACCTTGAGGAGGAGCCCAGTCCTTCCCGGGTAAGGGGTGGCCTGACGTGTTTCTGCTGACACCCAGGGCTGGGGCTGCAGGAAGGGGGAGGGAAGGTGAAGGAACGGCTATAGAGAGAGAGAGAGAGAGAGAAACCCCTTTCTCTAACTGGGAGGGGGCAAGAGCGGCCTCGGCATATTCCTCCCCATCATCTCCACCTCCCGATTCCTGGGAATATCGAGTCGCTTTCAAGCCCGTGGCCGGCGCCACTCGGTTGGGGTTGGGGTGAAGGCCATAGACTTTTACCCCCACCACTCCCTAAAGCCCGGGTTGAGTGGCAGCCAGGCCCCAGTCTCTCTCTTTTCTCCCCCACACTGGTATTCCCCGGCTTCTGGAAAAAGACGGGGGGAGAGAGAGCAGGCCGCCCAGCCTGAGCCGCCCCTCTCTCCTTCTGCAGCCAAGGGAGAGGAGGCCCCAGCCTTCAAGAGTCTCATGTCATGTTGAAGTTTTTATTGGGAGAGGTGAGGGACTGGCTAAAACCAAAATCTGGATTTTAACCTGTGTTTCTCGGTTGTGCTTGCTTTTAGTAGTGAGGCCCTTGACCATATGGAAGCTGCGCCGCTGCCCTGGGGTGGAATGTAACCCCCGCCCCGGGCTCAGGGTGTCGTGGGTGTGGGTGGGGGTGGGGGAGTTGGGGAAGAGACCGGCCGGGCTTTGACGCTAACTATATTGTATATATTAGTATTTGCATTAATATTTCAGCCGTGCGTGTGTAGGGTGTTAGCGCGTTTGTAGCCAGAGTCTGAAATGACACGTTTGTGCTGGAGGGGGAGGAGGGAAAAAGCCGGTAAAAGAGGAACCATGTGCGGCTGGTGGTTGGTCTCCGAGGCATAGCGCAAGCGAGTGAGTCACTGTCACCTCCCCACACGGTTAAGTGCTGCCGGCTCTTACTGCACAAACATCATCGCACTCTCCGCTGCTGCAAACTCTTCCTTAATCTTTAACTATATATAGATATTCTCTCAACAGTGGGGAAAGATCGCCATGTGACCATTAAAAAAAGTGAGGGCTCGGATTTTTTTAAAAACGGAAGTGCATTGAAGTTTTAACCATCTTTGGGAATTACGTTTAATAAGTAGTAGCAACTTTGAAGGATGGCGTAATGGGAAAGTGTTGGAATAGATTTATTTAATTTTAAAGCTACTAACATGAAGGACACGAATAGCAAGTTTTAGAAAGTGTTAGTTCAATTCCTGTTTATAGCCCCCTGATGTCTGCTTTCAGTTTGAAGTCCAGATCCTTATGTTTTCGAGGAAAAGGATTGCTTTTGGGGGTGAGGCAGGTGTTGTGGGTAGATAGAGATAATACATTGCAACGTTCAGTTCTCATTCGAGATTAAGCTTACTTTCGAAACGCACATAGTAAGAAAGCCAGTGCTTCAAGTTTATTGACTGAAATGCCCGATTACTGCTAGTGAAACATGTAAAAATCATTGGACATTTAGTTGTATTTATGAAATTCTATGTTGTGAATTATTGCAAAAGTTTCTCACTAAACGATGAGGGCAAATACTTTAGATATTTGAAATCTGCCCTTCTCCACCAATGTAAATACTAATAATTTCTCATCTGATTTGACCCTGCCACTGAAAAAGTCAAAAAGTTAATTCAAGTATAAAAAAACTTAGTTATCTTAAGTTATGAGGGGGCATTTCATCAATATGATATGGGTGTCGGATTGATTAAGTTTGAAATGAATGCTGTGACATTTGATTCGGTGTGGATGTTATGCAAATATATGGAGATGTAAAGCACTTTGCATACATGAAAAATTAAATGATTTGAGAGTATGTGGCAAATATCAATGCATGTACAAAGATCACAATATTCACATTTCGTATGACATTTTTGCATGGACTCAGTGCTGCTCCCTGGCAGTGGGTGTGGTTTTGGTGTTCATTACAATTTGTGCGTTTTCTCTCTGCACTGCAGTAACAAGCTGTAAGGTTTAATAATCGTCTGGCAGTGTATACATGAGAGAACGTTGTGTGTCCGGTAGAAGAAATGACACTTATTTAACACTGATATCACAGTATTGCTTCAGGTGTCTTCTGTTTTTATCAGTTGTGTGCAATCTGAGATTTTGGAAGTGGCAATAGCCACTGGAATTGAGTCTGAATTAAAATGCAGTTGACGCTTGCATTTATTATGGCCTTCTATTTTGGTAAAGAACTTGCCTGAATTGATCTGTGGTCTAATTTTTGTTTGGATTTAGTGTCAAATATTCTCCACTGAAATAATCCAAATACATAGGTCTCCTGCATCATACTAATGAACTTCATGCCAGATTTTGAATATGAAAATTTAGATAACTCAAAATAATGCACTAGATATTTGAGCAGTAGAAATAAAAGCGAGTTTAAACATTACAGCTGTTGGCAGTTCTGTTAGTCTAGTACACATATCTATCTTTTTTCCAAAAAGTGAAACAAGTTTGAAACGAACTAGCTGGTAAACAACTTGATTTACAGCAGGTCAGGCAGCATCCATGGAGAGAAAGCAGGCTAACATTTCGAGTTTAGATGACTCTTCATCAGAGCTGATGAATAGTCATCTAGACTTGAAATATTAGCTTGCCTTCTGTCCATGGATGCTGCCTGACCTGCCGAGATCTCCAGCATCTTTTGTTTTTGGTTCAGATTCCAGCATCTGCAATAATTTGCTCCTAAACAACTTGATTAGTTGGATGGCTTTACAGTGTTTTAATTGAAGTCTACATAATCACCTGTAGCTTGGGCAGATTTTATCAACTGCATTGACTATGGATTTTTAATTTCTTGAGTTGAAATTTAGCAGAAATTATAGTCTGCATTTGTCAGACTTATTCTGTGATAAAAATGAATTGCTGTATTGGTTGACTGGATATAGATTGCATAAACTTAAAATAAAAGGATATTGTGTGTATGCAGATTCAATAAAGTTGGAGCTAAATGTTTCTTTTGGCACTTTTAAATTAAACTCCGTTGATCAGGTTGAATTGGCTTCTAAAAGTTTGAGTTATTCTTGCATTGAGATTTTTCAAAGCATAGCTACCTTTTTTATTTGGGCTAATAACTTTAAAGTTTAGCATAAGTTTTTATTTTGCTTACTTTCTAGCTTTTTAACATGATTAAAAAGTAAAAATGGCATCAGGCACTCAACCAATTCTTATCTAATTTAAACTTGCTGAATCTTGGATGACTGTAAAAGTCCAGTCAATCTGTAGAGCCTATGTAGGCTGTTTGTAAAGAGTGTCCAATTATTCTACACCTCTTCTCTCCCCATAACCCTGCACATTATTCTTCTTCAACTTCATGTCCCATTTGCTTTTGGAAAGCTCCTATACAGTCAGCTTCTATCACCTTTTCAAGCAGCTGTGAACATGATGTCACCTCCCAAATGAGTGCCTGTTTTTCCCAGATCCCCACGTTTAACTCTATGAATGGCTTTCTGCTCCTGACGAGACATGCGGTGTGATAATGACATAGGTAAGTAATCCCTCTTTGCTCTTCTCAGCCTGTCTGCAACAGTTCATGTCATCCGGCTCCACTCTCATCCCTTGAGTGTGCCTCCTCTTGGCTGGTTCCGTTCTAATCTCTCTGACCATAACCATAATGCCACTTGCAGCGGTTTCTCTTCCTACTCTTGCACTGTTAACTCTGGTGTCTCAAAGATATATTCTGGTGACCTCTTCTACATCTCATCTACATGGTATCCTGTGGAGACATTATCTGAAGGCTTGATGTTGGTTTTCATTTGTGCTGACAGCATGCAGCTCAACTTTCACTGCCATCTAACTCTTCAACTGTGCTAAATTATCAAATGCTTATTTAATATCCAATAATGAGGTTAGCCTGAAGTATTATCTCTTTCAACCTCTCACCTTGCCTGAGGTGTGGTCTTCGGTCAAACCACCACCAGTTCTCTCTCTCTTCAGAGAGAGCTGGTAAGAATATGGCACCTATATTTTTTAGTGGGTGAGCAGAAATTTCCTCCAATCGAATATTCGCAATACTGTAATCTTTGATTTTGGACCTGGCTTCAAACTGTTTCCTATTCACTATCTTCAGTCTTCACTTAAGCATCTTCATAAGGCTATTTGCAACATTTGAGTGGTGTTTGTCTCTATAAAGAACCTCTGACTGCATCAGTGCCATCATTACAATTATCTATTTCCACTTAGTATTTCTTTTATTCATTCCTGGGGTGTGGGTGTTTGTTGGCTAGTGTTTCTTTCTCCTCTCTAATTGCCTTGGGGCAGTGGTGGCCAGCCGCTGCTTTCAACCATTGCAGTCTTTGTGGGTATAGGGATGCCCAGATGCTGTTGGGAATGGAGTTCCAGCATTTTGACCTGGTAACAGAATGGAGAAATGGTTGCAAGTAAGGATCGTATGCGGCTTGGAGGAGAGCTTGGAGTGGTGGTATTCCCAAACATCTGTTGTCGTTGTCCTTGTCCTTGTCCTTCTATCTGGTAGAAGTTGCAGGTTTAGTAGGTGCTGTCAGAGAGGCTTGAGCGATTTTGCTTCTGTATATCCTCATGATGGCACATACTGCTGCTAATGTCCACAGTATTGAAGAGATTGAATGTTCAAGGTGGTGGATTGGGTGATAATCAAGTGGGAATCTTTGTCCTGGATGGTGCTGAGCTTCTTGAGAGGTGGAACTGCACCAATCGAAGCAAGTGGAGAGTATTCCATCACACATTCCTGAATCCTCAATTTTGTCCCTCTTTTTGTTAGATTTGACTTTTCACATTCTCTCTCGGATTGGTCTTCCACCTTCTATCCTCTGAACTTCTTACCTCTGTATCTTAATGTGCCTTTAAACGCTATTCATCTGTCAACCTTGTATTTGCTGATCTATGTTGCCTCCCATTCAAGGAGCACCTGCTTTTAAAATTATCCTTTTTTCAAATCCCTTCATGGCCTCCCTCTTGCTTAACTGTGTAATTTCCTCTAGGTCCAAATTCATTTGAGATACATGTGAGTAACGTTCTGGCTGTTAAGCGTCTA